GTTGTGTTTGTGGGAACTTTTTCAGCGTTGAACAGCCAACTCGGGCTCTTCTCAGGCCGCGCCTCTGAGAGTGCGCGGCCGTGGGCTTCAGACGGCTGCTGGCGCAGATTAAGGCTGGCAAGTACCCGTCGGGCAAAGGGGGTTTGAAGGACCTGACCTTAAACCCCCCCGAGGGTGTGCCACGCGCTGTCCGAGCGCGACTGGCCGCCATTTTTGGCCCTGCTAACTCTGCCCCGAGCGCCTCAGATCAGAACGTGGGGGGAGGTGGGCTTCGGGGGGCGAGCGCTTCTGGCGGGGTGGCGCCCCGAGCTCAGGTGCTTAGGGCCTTTGGCCTCCTGGAGGGGGGCCTTCCAGCCATCCGTGCTGAAGGGCTCCGCCTCGTGAGGAAGGGGGCCGAGGACGGGGCCCGAAGAGCCCCTGGAGGGAGATTTTGCGGGTGCCTCGCATCTGTCGGAGGCCTCCGACTCCGAGCGATAGCTCAACTCGACTGGCTTCAGGCCGCTTGCTCATCTCATCTCATCACCTCCTCCTCCCCCCCCCCCCCCCCCCCCCCCCCTCCCTCCCCGCGAGGCCTCTAAGGCGCCCGAGATGGCCTCCAAGGCGGCCCTGACGCGCCGCAAAAGGACCCCGCATCGCTTTAGAGAGGCCCCCACGACGGCTTCCGACGGCGCCAGACCCACCAGACGGGCCAGGAACGCTTTAAGACGGCCAAGGAGAGGCTCCCAAGACGCCTCCAAGGTCCCCAAGATGCCTAAGGAGGCCGGGGGTCGGGTTCTCCCACGGGCCAGGCTTGATCCAGAACCGCCCGATCGGGACGGGCTCTGGCGCGTGGGGGCGAGGGCGAGACCGACGATCCGTCATCGCAAGCCGCCGCGGACGCGCGCCGCCGTCGCCGCCGCCTAGGGGGCGCTACCACCCGAGCCCAATGTCGTTGCGGAGACGACGCCGTCGGCGAAGACATGGATTCCCAGGAAGGGTGTTCTGTCACGAGCCAGGATCGCCAATGCGGAACAGTCATGTTGATTTGTTTCGCTGAAGTCCCGAGAATGGTGTTTTGGCGCACTTCAAGATCTTCAAACTGTTGTCTCCCAGCGGGGCATTGTAGGCCTATGAAGAGGGAAGTTGCAGGGGGGGTTATTCCAACATCGTTGATGGGTCTTCGGTCTTCATTGGTCCTTCTCCTTCTCCTCCTTCCTCCTCCTCCTTCCTCCTCGTCGTCCATCTTCCTCCTCCCTCATCCGTCCGTCCGTCCGCCGTCGTCCGTCCGTCCGTCCGTCCTCCTCCTCGCCCTCCTCGTACTTCTTCTCTTTTTCTTTTCCTCATCTCGTTTCTGCTACTCCTACTTCTCCTCTTCTCCCTCCTCATATACCTCCTCCTGCCTCCTCCTCTCTCCCCTCTTCACTTTGTTTTGGTGTCGAGAGGTCGCGCGCGCTTGGTTTTCGCGCACTAGTTCAAACAAACAACAAACATACATAAAACAAGCACCGGCCATTTCAAAAATAACACGTTGGTGAAGGCGCATTAAAATTGACAAAACAGCCTCCCCCCCTCCTCCCCCTCCTCCTCCCTCCTCCCCCTCTTCCTTGCGTTTCACCCACCCAGTACAGCGCTTCGTGGCCCCATAGGGAGCTCCACCGAAGGCCCCCAGTGGCTGCGTTCGCATGGCGGCCTCGGGCCATTTCGGCACACCCCTCACGAGGATCGTGGCCCCATAGGGAGCTCCACCGAAGGCCCCAGTGGCTGCGTTCGCGTGGCGGCCTCGGGCCATTTCGGCACACCCCTCTCGAGGATCGTGGCCCCATAGGGAGCTCCACCGAAGGCCCCCATTGGCTGCGTTCGCACGGCGGCTTCGGGGGCCATTTCGGCACACCCCTCACGAGGATCGTGGCCAGATATGGAGCTCCACCGAAGGCCCCAGCGGCTGCGTCGCGTGGCGGCCTCGGGCCATTTCGGAACACCCTTCTCGAGGATCGTGGCCCCATAGGCCCATAGGGTGCTCCACCGAAGGCCCCCAGTGGCTGCGTTCGCATGGCGGCCCCGGGCCATTTCGGCACACCCCTCACGAGGATCGTGACCCCATAGGGAGCTCCACCGAAGGCCCCCAGTGGCTGCGTTCGCATGGCGGCCTTGGGCCATTTCGGCACACCCCTCACGAGGATCATGGCCCCATAGGGAGCTCCACCGAAGGCCCCAGTGGCTGCGTTCGCATGGCGGCCTCGGGCCATTTCGGCACACCCCTCGAGGATCGTGGCCCCATAGGGAGCTCCACCGAGGCCCCCAGTGGCAGGGTTCGCATGGCGGCCTCGGGCCATTTCGGCACACCCCTCACGAGGATCGTGGCCCCATAGGGAGCTCCACCGAAGGCCCCAGTGGCTGCGTTCGCATGGCGGCCTCGGGCCATTTCGGCACACCCCTCACGAGGATCGTGGCCCCATAGGGAGCTCCACCGAAGGCCCCAGTGGCTGCGTTCGCATGGCGGCCTCGGGCCATTTCGGCACACCCCTCACGAGGATCGTGGCCCCATAGGGAGCTCCACCGAAGGCCCCAGTGGCTGCGTTCGCATGGCGGCCTCGGGCCATTTCGGCACACCCTCACGAGGATCGTGGCCCCATAGGGAGCTCCACCGAAGGCCCCAGTGGCTGCGTTCGCATGGCGGCCTCGGGCCATTTCGGCACACCCCTCACGAGGATCGTGGCTCCATAGGGAGCTCCACCGAAGGCCCCAGTGGCTGCGTTCGCATGGCGGCCTCGGGCCATTTCGGCACACCCCTCACGAGGATCGTGGCCCCATAGGGAGCTCCACCGAAGGCCCCAGTGGCTGCGTTCGCAGGGCGGCCTCGGGCTATTTCGACACACCCCTCACGAGGACCGTGGCCCCATAGGGAGCTCCACCGAAGGCGCCAGTGGCAGGGTTCGCATGGCGGCCCCGGGCCATTGCGGCACATCCCTCACGAGGATCGTGGCCCCATAGTTGTGCTGCTTCAACAACCGCGCCTGGGCGTCGTACTCCGCCTTGTCGACGTGCAACGCCACCTCCTCCCTCATGGCTCTCAAGGCCTTCTCCTGCTTCTGCTCCTCGGTGAGAAGGACGCCGTCCTTGTCGTCGTCGGCGCCCGCGACGACGGCCACGAACGTGTCCCTGAGCATGTCGGGCTCCGGCGGAAAGCCGTGGCCACATAGGGAGCGCGGGCCAAGATGGCATTCACAATTGCAGTATTTTCACAACAGCATATGGTTGGGTCCTTCGCCAGGCTAATTGTTTTGGCCGAAGCGGCTCCGAGACAGTCTGCAGGGCAGCCTTTTTGTTGGCCGCAGCGGCTCCGAGAAGCCTGCAGCTCAGCGCGGGTTCGTCTGCGGACGCCTCTGCCCCCCCCCCAGACAAAAAATCAGCCCGAGGCCCCCGGTGATTTGTTTTCGGCCCGCCCTTTCAAGCCCCACGGCCGGCTCTTGGGTCGAGGAAGAAGAGGAGCAGGAGGACGTGGACGTTGATCAAGACGAAAACGAGGAGAAAGAGGAGCAGGAGGACGAGGAGGTTGAGCAGGGGGTCGAGGACGAAATAATGGCCTTAAGCGGTTCCGACAACCCTGCAGCTCAACGCGGACTGGTCTCGGAGCCGGCTCGGGCCTTTCATTCGGTCCTTGACAGCTTGCTCAACCTCCTCGTCCTCCTGCTCCTCCTGCTCCTCTGGTTCCTCTTGATCACCTCCTCGTCCTCCTGCCCCCCCTCCTCCTCGACCCAAAAGCTGGCCGTGGGGCCTTGAGAGGGCTGCCCCACAAAAAACCACCGGGGGCCTCGGGGTGATATGTTTTTCCTGGGGGGGCAAAGGCGTCCGCAGACGAGCCCGCGCTGAGCTGCAGGTTTCTCGGAGCCGCTTCGGGCCTCTGATCCGTCCTTTCTTTCCTCTTGCTCTTCCTCTTGGACTGTTTCCTCGGCCTTTGGGGGCCATCTTGAAGTGAGCTTGGGCCGTCTTGGGACCATCTTGTGGACATCTTGGGCCGTCGGACAGCCGAAAAAGAAAAAACGCCAGAATTATTCAACAATTGAAGGGAGTACAACCATTTGGGCATTTCGGGCTCTCCTGGAGGTCCTCTTGAAGACTTCCTAGACTGTCTAGGAGGCCCATTGGATCCCCTTGGTGCCCTCTGGGGCTGTCTCGGGCCATCCTGGGGCTATGTCGAATCGTATCGTTGCCATGTTGGACGTTTTGGAGCCGTCTTGAGGGCCATCGTGGGCGCCTTGGAGTTCTCGTGGGCCGTCTTGGAGGCGCCTTGGGGGCCTCTTGGACCGTCAGGAGGCCGGAGCAGCCAGTCCAGGGTCCCAGGACACCCCTTCCTTGACCGCGGAGAGGGAGGGCTAGAATGGTCAGATGAGGCGCGAACGCACCCAGCTTGCCCCCCCCTCTCCCATCCCTCCGTGCACCTTCTTCTCCTCCCCATTTCCCTTTTTCCTTACTTCCCTCTCTCTCCTTGCCCCCAGTTCCCTGCCTTCGTCTCCCCCCTCCGCTGCCCCTGTTCCCGCCCGCCCCCCCCGTCCTCACATCGGCCTCCGCCCATTTCGTGCCGTCGTCTGTGCTCGCCATTCCATGTGCGACGATGGGAGGCGGCGGGAACATGCGGACTCCTCGTCATCTATGTCGTCGTCGTCGCCAGCGCCGTGGCCGTCTTGGTCGGGATTGTCGACGTCGAAATCGTCCGTCGCCGCTCCGTCGTTGTTTTCGTATCCGTCCAGCAGCCTGTCCGTCGTCGTCCGTCGTTCGTTTTCCGTCGTCCGTTTTCCGTCGTCGTTGGAGTCGAAGTCGGAATTCGCGCTGGCGTCGGCGTCCGTGTCCGCCGTCGCCGTCGTCATCGTCATCTTCGTCGTCGTCGTCGTCGTCGACGTCCGCCGTCTTTGGTGGTCACCGCCGTTGTCGTCGTCTTCGTCGTCGTCGTCGTCGTGGTCGTCGTCGTCGTCTTCATCGTCGTCGTCATCGCCTTCGTCGTCGTCCCGCGTCGCGCCGCGCAGCGCTGGGCCCGCTCGGCGTCCCTGGAGGTCAGCTGCTTCGCTGCTGGAGGCTCTTCCTGCCGGCGGAGGGGGCCTCTTGTTGTTGGAAGCAGGGGGCTCGGTCTCCTTCTTTTCCCTCCTGCTGCCCCCCCTTTCCCCCCCCCTCTCTCCTCCTTCTCGTCCTCCCCCACGTCCTCCTCCTCCCCTCCTCCTCCTCCTCCTCCTCCTCCTCCGTAGCCATTTTGGCTCAAGATGCAGGCTTCCCCAGGGAACCAAGCGGATACCGCTAGTCCGCGGCTAGCAAGACTTCCTGAAGTCTGGCGTCTTCTCGGACCCACCGCACCAGCGCTCAGGTTGGTGGGTAAACGGAGGCCTTTCCCGTTCCTGTCGGCCCGAACGCTTCCAGCTTCGACACCATGGGCCCTGCGCGGGATGGTGCGCATGTGGGCGATGGCTGTGCTACTGGCGCTGCTGGCCGTGCGCCCTCCTTTGGCGGCTCCTCCTCATCTTCTCGTGAAAAGTCCAGGAGTGGGGAGCGGCGCCGCCGCAAGCGCAGTGGGCGCCAGTCCCGTGATCGTGCTCGAGATGTGGAGGCAGAACGTGAGGAAGCCAAGAGGGCGGCCCTGGCTGCGTTCAAGGCTGAGGAGGCGGCCTTCATGGAGGCGGAGGCGGCCTGCCCCACGCTCCCCTCGCAGCCTGCGGCGGCCCTGCACGACCCGTGGGCGGCCGCTGCTGCTGGCCTTGATGCTGCCCACGCGGGACACGGTGCACAGCGGATGGCCTCCTGCACTCCTGTGGGCGGCATGGCCACGCCTGTCCTGGGGGAGGACCATGCTGGGCTTGGCGGTGCGCCACCTGAGGCCGCGGCGGCCATTGCCCTCCTGCGGGGCACGCTCTTTGCGGAGGTGCGCGCCAGCCAGGAGCGCCTCTTTCAGAACATGGACAAGAGCCTTGACGGCATCCAGAGGGTTCTCGAGCGCCGCACGGCGCTTCTTGAGAGCAGGCAGGGGAAGGTCGAGCGCATTCAGCAGCAGCAGGAGGAGGACATCAGGAGGCTCGAAGAAGAGATGCGCAGGAGGCAGAAGGAGACGGACAAAATCATGGCGAAGCACACGGCGGACCTGGCGCAGCTCCAGCGGGAGCTCGGAGTGGTCGCGGCGGGCGTCCCACCCCCGCCTGAGGCTGGGCCTGCCTGGAGCAGGACGATCGACCGTGCGGTCATGGTCGTCACCAGCAAGGCCCCGCTCATGCGCGCGGCGGTGGAGCGCGCCATGGCCCCAGTGCTGGCGGACGCGCAGCTCTCGGAGGTCGCGAAGGTCGAGGGCGACGACTTGGGCCAGCGCTTCGTGGTCAGGATGGAGGGTGACGTGGGACTGGCTGAACGTAGGGTGCGCAAGCTGGTGTCCACATTGCGTGGTGGAGGCCCTGGGGGCACGTGGCGCCAAGTCGCCGCTTCGACGCCGACTGGCCACACGGCGCCGCTGTCCCTCAGCAAGGACAAGAACTCCCGCCAGGTGTCATACGAGATCACGCTCAAGAAGATGCGTCGGGTGCTCGAGGAGGGTCTCTCGAAGCGCATCTTCGTTGACCCTGTTGGCCCCGGCCAGCTGGAGGGAACCCTCTCCATGGCGTGGCAGCCCCTGGTCAAGATTGCGATCGAAGGCCCTGGCTCTCCACCGGTTATCCAGTGGAATGCTGCCGTTCTTCGCCAACGCCAACTTCCTCGTGAGCAGCTGGAGCAGATCGTGGCGCCCATCCTGGCCCCGTCGACGGCGGAGTGGTGCCTTTGACAAGGCGGCGGCACGCTGGGGTCGGCGGCGGAGGGATGAGGGCGACGCGGTGAACGGGGGAGCGCTATGTCGAGACGGAGATGGGGGTGAAGCGGGAGCTGGCCTGGGGCACGGACGTGACGCCCCTGTTGGTCCGCGTGCTGCTGCGGCCGACTTTGTGCTCACCTCCGCCACGTGGAATGCCAGGGCGCTGTGCCGCTGCAGGCCTGCTACGGCGAAGGCGAGGGCGAAGTTCCTTGCCAAGTTGTGGGAGCGCGACTCGGTCATTTTGGGGCTGCAGGAGGCGCATGGCTCGCACATCCGACTGACTGAGCTGCTCAAATTAGCGGGTATTCGAGCCCGAGTATTTTCCTCGTTCTGTGAGGGAGAGCGCGAAGATACTGGAGGGCTGGCCACTCTTTTCCCTATGCGTAGGGCTGATGATGATGAAAGAGTGCTGTGGGAATCGTCTATACTGGTGCCTGGCAGGGTCACGCGCATCCGCGCCAATTTCAGCGATGACATGGGGAGGCCATGCACGCTCACGCATTGGAACATTCACAACCATGGACTGGACTGCGGAGTGCAACGTCGGGCCCAGGCAATGATCTCGGCCGACTTTCTTGAGGCCAAGATGGATCCTGTCAAGGCGGCTGTGCCCGTTGTGGGTGACTTCAACTTCGGTGACAGGCTGGAGCACTGCCATTTTGGCGATGACGCTCCTCCCCGCTCTGTTGCTGCTGCTCGGCACCCGCAAGAGCAACGCTGGCAGCGCTGCTTGAGTGATGCTGTGGAGATGGTGGCACCGCGTGCGACCCATTGGCATCCTGGCCGCCAGCTTGAGACCAGGATCGATCGAGTCTTCCTGGGAGTGCCGTCCTGGCTGGTGGCCCAGCGCTTCCAACAGCGCGAGGTACTTGGTGAACCTGAGGAGCTGCACAGGAGGGACATCAGCGACCACGCGCCTGTCCTGATCTCCTGGATGCGGCGCCCTCTCCGTCCTCGCGACCCGCTCAGGCCTGCCCCGACCCCCCAGGACATCGTGAACTCTCCCATGTTCAAGGGGAAGCTGGCCCAGTACGTGGAGGTGCTGGACCTATCGGCGCGCGCCCCGCCTGACATGTACCAGGCGTATGTGAGAGCCACGCAGGCGGCCGCGGCTGAGACTAGGGACGCGCAGCTGCAGGGCATGGCATGGTCGAAGAGGTGCACGGCGCTGATCTTCAGGCAAGTGGCAAGGGTGGTGGCGCGCCAACGCGCATCGTTGGCTGAGAGGCTCCTCGTCCGCCACCCGTGGCTGGATGAGCTGAGGACTGTTGATGTGATGAAGGGCGTGGTGATGCTGAAGAACCATGCGGAGTTCCTCCGGCGCTTCGTCCCGGCGCAGCGGCGTGTGGCCAGGGCCAGGCGTGCCGAGCTCCAGGCGGAGCTTGAAGCTGGCGAAGAGCAACTTCGTGTCTCTGATCGCCGTCGGCTCCTAGGCCAGCGTCGTGCCCTGGAGCGTCGTGCCGCTCTTTGGTCGGTCCTCCCGCGACGGCACCTTGCGGCTGTGGAAGCCCCTGACGGCAGGCTGCTCACCTCGCCCGCCGAGGTCCACGAGGCGCTGGCGAACCACTGGGGCGGGGTCTTCTGCCCCCCTGCACGTGCTGCATGCCTGGCAGCAGAGGGCGCCTCCTCGGAGCACCGCCGTCGGGAGCGTGACTCGGAGGCCTGCATCGCGGAGTATGGCATGAAGGAGGTTGACTGGAGCTCTCTGGCGCCTCCCTCGGCTATGCGCATCGAGGAGGCTCTACGACGCGCGCGGCCTGCTGCGCCTGGGGTTGATGGCCTGCCTGCGAGGGCGTGGCTGATGCACTCGGCGGGATGCGAGGTGCTCCTCGCGGCTATGAGATGGATGAGCCTGGGCCGCCCCATGCGTAGGGAGTTCAAAATGAGCATTGCCATCTTCCCGCCGAAGAAGGTGCTGGACGGTGACGGCATGGAGGTTATCAGGAAGCCGAACGAGACCCGCCCGCTCACGCTGCGCTCCACGGGCCCCAAGGCCATCGCCTCCGCGGTGAATTTCAGGCTAAAGAGCATGATAGACCGCGGCGCTTCCAAGGCGCAGCGTGGCTTCATCACGGGGAGGAACTTCATGGATAACCTGGTGGAGCTCGACGCCATGTCCCGCGTCGCCTCCATGTGTGCGTTGGAGCATGCTCGCGGCTGGGAGGGGCCGACCCTCTTGAGCTTCGACTTCGCTCGCGCCTTCCCGTCGCTCCTCCACGACTGGATGCGGCGGGTGCTGGAGGCGTGGGCGGCGCCGCTCGGCCTGGAGCACCTGCTGAAGGAGTCCTACGCCAATGCCGAGGTCGTGGAGGCGGGGCCCTGCCACTGGGTCCTCTTTGTCATCCTGTGCGGGATCCTGCAGGGGGACCCGCTCTCTGGGACGATGTTCGTGATCGGCGCGCAGCCGTTTGTGGAGGCGCACCTGCAGCAGCTGGAGGCCAAGGCTCTCGGCATGACCCGCTGGTGTGCTGATGACATCCAGGCCCTGATCTACTGCAAGCGGGGGCTCCGCACCCTGGCGAGGATCTTCCGCCTTGCTGAGCGCCTCGCTGGCCTCCAGCTCCAGCCCAAGAAGTGCGCGGCCGTCCCGCTCTGGGCCCCGTTCTCGGCGGAGGTGGAGGGCGCGATGAGGAAGTGCCTGGAGGAGGCCTGCGGGTGGGGCTCCTTCACCGTGGCCTCGTCGGTGGAGCTGCTGGGGTGCCTCGTGGGCCCTGGTGCCTCGCTGGCGGCCCAGTGGGCTGCGCCGCTCGCGCGCCTGCGTGAGAGGGTCCTGGCACTCGCGGCCTCGCCGCTGGACATGACGGCTGTCTTCTTTGAGCACAGCCGACGGTGCCAGCCCGTCCTGGCCTACAAGGCGCAGATTTGGCCGATGCCATCGGAGCTGATTGAGGACGGGCGCTTCCTGCTGTGCCGGCTGGCGAGGTGCTCGGGAAGCCTCTTCAAGAGGAACGCGTTCTTCGACCTCGAGGCGCTGGGGGGCCCCAGGTGTGTGCCCACGTCTGACCTCCTCGCGGCGCCCCTCATGCGCTCGGCTCTCTCGACGCTCGAGACTTGGAGGAGGGCCGCCGCGCACCTGAGTAAGGTGGCCTCGCGCAGGCTGCCGCTGGTGCGGAGCACGACAGGCCAGCCCTGGCCTGCCTGGTGGGAGGCGCCCGCCCCTGCCGTCACACCTGCGCGAGCGGAGGCGGAGGGCCGCGCGCTGCTCGAGAAGAGCGGCGCCCCCCTCTCCTTGCACCTAGCCAGGGCGGGGCGG